GATCTCGAGGAACACACGAATTCATTCGACCAATCAAAAACGTGGAACTAGTTTGAGAGTCTCGTTCAGGTGGCGCGTCGACGCGCCAAAACACAGCTCCAGATTATGATGCGTAGTATTACTATATATACACGACCAATCAAAAACGTGGAACTGCTTCGAGGGCCCTCCGCTAAGGTGGCGCGCCGAAACCAGAGAAAAATTGCCTTCACCAAAAACAGGCTCATTGGCAATCTCCCTACTCATCTCTGTATACACATATTGCTTACTGACGTTGAATAGGAACCATCTCTACTGACTACTGGCCATTGTCTACTAGCTACTGACGCCACGCGAGGCGTAGCGTCGCTTTTTCATAGGGCGCGTTCACACGATGCCCTGCCTTAAGGCGCGTTTCTATTATTGCCCTAATTTCAGGCGCATTTACACGATGCCGTGTGATGACGTTGTGTGTCCACACAAGCTATCTTGTAGTGCTGCCTATGAGTGGGGATTTGTACTAAAAGAGACTGTAGCGCGCACGCGCAAATTGTGTGCGAGAAACGAACACCATTTGTTCCAAGTCACATTAATAACATTATAAATTGAATTAATGATGGAAAAATTGTAGGATTTATCGCATGTATCGAAGATTATATAATAGAAACGTATTTGAGTGTTATAATTCTTATTGCTTTCTATTGGGAATGTATATTTTCAGATTGTAGATCACATATGCAAGTGCACATAAATAAATATGAAATCATTTTCTTAAATAACTATGTGTTATTTGTTTTAGACCTTACCTTAATTTCTTAGGGTAGCTTCTCGTTTTTTTTTTATTGATAATTTAGGTAAGATGATTGTGTGTTTAAAGGAAAATGGTGGATATGGTTTATCTCTCAGTTCCGAAGTGAGTATACGAAGTACATGATATTGGTCCGTAGGCAAGGCATTAGGTTAGAAAGCCAAAGGTCTGTGGTTCGAGACCTCTCCGTCGGAAGTTTTTTTTTCTTCTTCTGGACGTTATGATTTTTTTTTAAATACAACGTATTAAGGAGGTTGAAACGCTTCACGCCGGTTAAATCAGTGCTCAATATTTTTTATCGTTTTTACGAAATTTTATGAATTAATTGACAGCAGTGAAAAAATTCAGATAGAAAAATTCCCATAGAAAAATTCAGAGCGATGAATTTACAAGAATATTATCTGACCAATATTACATAATACATTAAATTTACAAAAACGATTACTAAAATTTAACACTGATTTGACCTGCGTGAAGTGCTTCAACCTCTTCAAAAGTTGTACGGGCTGCACGCTGAAGGTAAAAAAAAATCGAACCAAATATCAATTTTTTTCTAATTTTATTTATTACTTTATTATAGTAAAGGCATCAACAATGATAATCTACAGGCTTCCACATCACCCAAGAGGTGCCGTAGTCGATACGTTCCCATTATTTAACGTAGCAGGACCCCAGTAGGTCTATACTACGATCGAAGATAATAACGTCATACAAATGATCTATTTAAATAATTAGCGTATAAGCAAATCACAATAACAAGCACTAAAATCTATATTATCACAGATATAAAATGTAAATGCATTATGATGTTGCTGATCAGAAAAATATATTGCGTTGTCGAAAATGTTTAATGGCATATAAATTTAATTTGTAAGTCCCATTTTCTAAAAATGCATAAAGACATATACAAATTTTCAAAGAGAATGTAATCTTCAATGCATATAAGCGTCGTTAATGGTGTCCAGCTTGTTTCAGCCGTGTGGTAAACGTAAGAGAGGAGAGTGTGCTGGATTATTTACGTACCTCAGGTCGTGCGAACATCAGAGAGGATACTATAGTTTCAGCAAAGCGCCAAAGCTTGTTGCACACTTTTCTGGACTTCTACGTCCGACACCTAGATATAAGAAACTACGGAGCGGAACACCTGGACACCCTGAACTTCCACATCCGACACCTAGATACAGAAAACTACGAAGCGGAGTACCTGGACACTCTGGACTTCCACATCCAGTCCTCTGACAAGGCTCTACAAACCATGTTTCTTCAACGACTCCCTGAACATGTCCAAGAACTCTTGTCGGTTGTGGAAGGAGTAGAACTCAACAAACTGGCAGAGGTTGCGGACAAGGCTATGGACCGAAGAAGAGTACCACACGTAGCCACCATCTCCAACTCGGACAACCACATTGCAAGTGATCTAGCGGCACTGGCCAAACAAATAAGTAAACTATCAACACGTCTAGAGTGTTCAGACAATCCTAACAAAGGTACAACCGCTCAGACAGACTCGACCAAATCAACACAACAAGATGACAAGTGGTTAGAGTTAAAAAACATGATCGAAGAACTAGCCAAGCAACGAAGAAGCTACTATAACAAGAATCAACAAAACCGCTCTGGTGGAAGATCTCGTTCTAGGGAGCGATAAGACGGATTGTGCTACTATAACAAGAATCAACAAAACCGCTCTGGTGGAAGATCTCGTTCTAGGGAGCGATAAGACGGATTGTGCTACTATCACCGACGCTTTGGTAAAGAAGCGAGAAACTGTGTTAGCCCGTGTTCCTGGAAGAATCCACAGGACCAGGGAAACAACACGTCGTCATCGGTCAAGGCGGTTCATTACGACGAGAGCAGGAAACACCGCCTCATAATCACAGACAGAGAATCTGGAATGAGGTTTCTGGTTGACTCGGGAGCCGACGTATCTGTTATCCCTCGCAACTTCGCGGGTAAGCTACAGGCAGATGCACCCACGTCGCAGCTCTTCGCCGCAAACGGGTCTCCTATAGAAACATACATGCACCCACGTCGCAGCTCTTCGCCGCAAACGGGTCTCCTATAGAAACATACAGGACCAAGCTTCTCACTCCCAACCTGGGATTACGAAGGAAACTGCCTTGGGTCTTCATCATCGCGAACGTGACCAGGCCCATACTAGGCGCTGATTTTATACATCACTATGGACTGCTAATCGACCTACAAGGTAAATGTCTTAGAGATGTAAGCACTAACCTATTTTCTGGCGGCGCAGTGACCAAGTCCAACGCTCCCACAATACGGACCATCACGGATGATACACCGTACAGCAAACTACTTAAGGAATTTGTCGACATCACACGACCTGTCAAGTACACGGGACTACCGAAACATGACGTCCAACACTTCATCAACACAAAGGGACCACCGGTAGCAGAACGCGCACGACGTCTCTTAGGAGAAAAGCTGAAAGCCGCAAAAGCAGATTTTGAGTATATGTTAGCTCAGGGCATTTGCCGGCCATCCAGCAGTCAATGGGCCAGCCCTCTTCACCTCACGCCCAAGAAATCCGGCGATTGGAGGGCCTGTGGCGATTACCGTCGTCTCAACGCATGCACCGTACCGGACAAGTATCCCATTCCGCATCTACATGATTTCTCGCACAAATTACGCGACTGTTCCATATTCACTACGTTGGATCTCGCTCGAGCATACCACCAAATACCGGTGGCAGAAGAGGATCGACCAAAAACGGCAGTAATCACTCCATTTGGACTTTTCGAATATAACGTGATGACATTTGGACTGTGTAATGCTGCACAAAGTTTTCAGAGATTCATGGACACAGCTCTCCATGGATTGGACTTCTGCTTCTGTTACGTAGATGACATCTTAATTGCATCTAAGGATCAGGCAGAGCACGAGAAACACCTGCGACAAGTTTTCGAACGACTTCAGCAGTACGGACTCTCGATCAACACCGCAAAATGCGTTTTCGGCGCGCAATCTGTTAAATACCTCGGTTTCTCTATCGACAAGGACGGCACACGTCCACCAGAAGAGCGCGTCACAGCCATACAAAACTATCCCAAGCCAGCCACACTGGATGAGCTACGCAGATTCTTGGGAGTAGCAAACTTCTATAGACGCTTCATCAAGAACGCTGCGGAAACACAAGCACCACTCAACACTTATCTCATCGGCGTGAAGAAAAAGGATAAGCGACCGATAGAATGGACCCAAGACACTGAAAGAGCATTTGAGAAGTGCAAGGAACAAATAGCGCAAGCCTCACTTCTAGCACACCCAGCAGAAAACGCTACACTGGCTCTGTACACAGATGCCTCAGATACAGCAATGGGCGCAGTCCTACAGCAGCTGGTCAACAACAACTGGGAACCTCTCGGTTTTTTCTCAAAGAAATTTTCTAAGGCACAGCGCAACTATAGCACATACGACCGTGAATTACAGGCGATCTACTCAGGTCTCAAGTTTTTCCGTCACATGGTCGAAGGCAGAAAATTGATCATAAAGACGAATCACAAGTCTATTACATTTGCCTTTCAACAGAAGTCGGACAAAGCCTTACCAAGACAACTTCGTCAATTGGATTTCATAGGTCAACTCACCACGCAA